GTAGCTGCAAATTGAGTGTTGATGGGTTTGAGATGCCCAGTCGCTGTCAGTGTATCCGATTAGGCCATTGTTTGTGGCTGTAAAGGTGAGTTTTGTCTCCGTCGTGCCTTTGACATAACAAATAATTTTCTTGACAGCTTCCCAGTGTATTTGGGCAGGATTCTGACAGAATTGCGATACAATGGATACGGCAAATGCGATGTCTGGGCGGGTGGAGGTGGCAAGGTACATTAGCTTTCCTATAGCTTTGCGATAAGGTACATTGGCCATTTCTTCTTTTTCATTTGATTTCTCCGGGCACTGATCTTTGTGTAGTGGGATGCTATGATCCATTGGCGTGGTGGATGGTTAAGCATTGTCCATTCAAAAGGTCGAAACAATGGTGTTGATATATGCTCTTTGCAAGAGCGATATGGTTCTGGCCTCCCTGTCTCGTTCTATCTCGATGCCTAGGAGCCAGTGTATTTCACCAAGGTCAGATATTTCATACTCTTGTTTCAGTCCTTTCTTAAACATTTCTATTGCAGACTTGGAGTTGCCTGTGACTGTCATATCGTCTACTGATACACCGACAACCATTTTTACAGCTTCTGACTTCTTGTAGAAAACAGCGTGGTCATAGGATGATTGCGTGGATCCAAGATTTACAAACATTTTGGTGAGCTTTCCATACCATTTCAATCCCGCTTGTTTTAACCTGTATATGCCTTTTCGTACCTTGCAGATCATGCCCTTCTGAAAGGATCTAGGATATCCTGGGGGTAGGTGCATGTATACGTCTTCATCAAGGTCTGCATTGAGATATGTGGATTTGATGTTGACCTGGTGGATTTCCCAGTCGTTTGCATTGGCATGCGCGAGTATGATACGGTGGGACGTGATTTTGGCCACTGCGAAGTAAGTTTCCAAGTAATCCATACCGTATTTTTGTGAGTTGCCATTGGCTACTAGTCTGACTTTGTAGTGTTCTACTGACCCATCAGCAGTTCACTTGATCTTGGTCACAGAGTGACTGTTGATCACATTGACACCTGGTGGGCGAGGTACTAGGTCCCAGGTGTGTAGCTTTTTAAGTTGGTCTAGTTCATTGCTGACTGCTTGATGCCAGTGTTTGGCATCTGGTCCTTTCAGAGCGACATGTAGAGGTGGACTATCTTTGTCCGCAATGGTCGCTGCAAGGGCGTATGGACAAGGTGAGTTGTCTTGCTCATTTTCAAAGGCTATTGATGTGTTTAGAGTGGTTTTGCCTTTGTGTAGAGACTTGTAGTAACCTGTAGGTTTCTCGGCAGCAGCACATCTTGGTCTGGGTTCGCTAGGTTCTATGTCAGGAGAGGTTTGTGAAGGAATGCGATGCGGGTTGATCGTGTTTGGTGAGTTATCAATACTCATTTCTTTTCGAGATGACTCGCGTGCATTAGCAGGTGATATAGGTCTGGTGTTGAGGCTATAATTGCGCTTGACACTGACCATTCTCTTATCAGACCAATATACCCTTATACCCTTACTTTGGGTGTCAAAGCCTATAAACCGGCCCTCCTTACTTCGTACATCTAATTTCCCAGCTGTCTCGTCTTTGATGTGTACATATTGACCAAATTGATGTAGGTTGAATAGAATGTGTTTTGATCCACATGCCATCTCATAAGGTGTCTTTCTATTTAGTGCCTTGGTGAGTGTTCAATTGCAAATCCAGTTAGCGTGACTGATAGCCTCGCTCCACAGACTTTTGGGCAATCCTGCAGAGATTAGCATGCTCCATGCTATCTCTGTCAGGGTGCGGTTCAGTCTTTTGGCTGTTCTGTTTTGTTGTGGGAAGTCGTGTACTGTGAGTTTACGTTCGGTACCACAGTTCTCGAGGTGAATGGTCATTTCATCACTCATGAATTCTCCACCACAATTAGACCTGATTACTTTGATTTTAGCTCCATCTTTTTGGGTATTGAGCCATGCCTCGAATTTCTGATATGCAACTAGAGTATTGCTTTTGTGGGCTAAGAAGCGGACATGTGTTTCTCTCAAGTGGTCATCAGTGAGAGTGAGCATATAGTGTTTCCCTGTTAGGTCCTGTACTGATGCTGGGCCCTATAGATCCCTGTGTATTTGTTCACCATACAATTTGGCGCGGGTGTAGGAGACCTTAGGAAACAGCTTTCTGTTCACTTTGGCCTTAGCGCACACTTCGCAGAATTCACTCAGGGTAGTAGTCTCCAGTTTTACTCCTTTTATCATCCCAGATGAAATCATCTTGGTTAACATTTGCGGAGACACATGTCCCATGCATTCATGTAGACGATCCATTGTTATTGAGACTGATTTGTCCATTTTTTCTCGCTTCTTGGGCTTGGTGGGCAGTTATTGCATTTTCTAGTTGATAAAGCCCTTTTTTCATAGGTATTTGAGCGATTATGCAATTTCTCGGACATGGGGAGATGATTTGACAAGTTCCCTTTTCGATATGGATTGCGTGGCCAGTCTTTTCAATCTGACTGATGGATATGAGAATTGAGGACATGTTTGGTGCATATAGCACCCTCTTCAATAGGAGTTTCGTATGACGTGTTCCGTTTGGCATCTTTAGGATCATATCTCCTTCTCCTACAGCTTGGAGTGGGATATCTCCAGCTGTCTTAATGGGCTGAGGCTTTATGGGTTTTAGATTGACGAATAGGTTGGGATCTGGGCAGAAATGTCTGCTTGCACCGGAGTCTATTAAGACTTGGTAGTTGGTGTGAGTTGTCGTTTTCTGCGAGTCTATGTTGCCAACTGATGCCATTAGGACGTAGAGATCTTCATCTGAGCTCTCATTCGTGTCTGCTTTAGTTGCCATTTGGGTTTTATTAGTGGCTGGTATGTCATCTTTTCCCTTATTATCATCTTTATTCTTATCTTTTTCGTTCTTCTTTTATCCTTCTTTAGTCTCTTATCCGGTTTTTGACAGTCTTTTCCAATATGCCCAATTTTGCCGCAGTTGTAGCAGGTGCAAGTTTTGCGCCTTTGTTCTGATTGGGCTGATAGTGCCGAGTTCAAGGCTTTACTATTGTCAGGCCTTGACATAGCAGTTTGTTGGGCATATTTGTTGTAGATTTGGGTGACGAGGACGTCAGGAAGAAAAGGGTTGCCAATTGATTCATAGGTTACGGTTAAAGATGATAGGAAGTTTCTATAGGATAAGGGGAGTGATGTTATCATCATAAAGACAAAGTCATCATCCGAGACTGGGCCTCCCATGTCTGCAAGAAGCATGCGGAAGTGGAGCATTTCGTCTATGTAAGTCTTCACATTGTCTTTCTCTCTGCATTGAAGATTTTGTAGCTTTCTTCTAGTGTCCGTTATTACAACTTTGCTTTTGGATTCGTGGTAACCACATAGTCCCTTCCATAATAGGGCAGCAGTGAGCAGTGAGGTTGGCTCCCTTTGCTCACATACAGACATAAACTGTGGATGGAATGGTCATGACTATTTGATATTTTGTGGCAGCTTCTCTTCTGCGATACGTGTCGCATAATTCTTCATTGCTCGAGATATCTTTCTTGGTAGCTGTAGTACCATCTGCTTTAGTCACTGAGCGATCATCGTGGTAGGTGAATTCTTCTGGCTTTGTGACTAGCCTTTGAGATGACAATATAGTCCTCTTGCATCTATATTAGCCAACATAGTTTCCTTATATGTGGCCCAGTTTGTTCCCTTTTTGTCGAGTTTTACCATGCCTGATGTCAACATGGTACCTATTGTTAGGGAAGAATCTGTGATATCTTGTGGGCTCATAACCTCTAAGAAATCAATACTGAAGCATAATAAGTAAATGAAGATGTGAAAAAGACTGTATTTACTAACCTCAGTTTTGTGCAATACAAACTGAGGTGTAACTATCCTAGAAACGAGCATAAAAATGAGAATGAAAAGTCCGAAGTTTTGAATCCCAATGGGGAATCATTTTCCCATAAATATAGGGTGAAAAGTCGGACTGTGAATGAAGTATCTAGTACTTGAAGTATTAGTGTAGGCTCAAATAAACTGTTGAATCATGAAAATAATATATTGAGTATATAGAAATATGCCTACAAAGGTTTGTTGCAGCTCCCCAGTTACTGACAGAAAAATGGCCATGCAAAGTCAACTGTTTGCCTGTGCTTTTGTTGAACTTTGCAATTGGCTTAACAAGACCCTTGCACTTAGGATCACTTGTTGAAGGATATGTGGCCAGTTTCCATGACATCTCTGTTCAATTGAGAACTTCTGGGAAGTGTCTAGCCACTTGCTGAGAGCTAACAGGGACAGAACTAGAGTCCAGTATGAGCAACTATATTATCAGAGAGTACAGAATGTGTACAGTACCTAGAGTCCAGTATGAGTAACTAAAGAATAGGAATACTGGACTCTGCAATACTAGTCCGAAATTTTGTAAACAAAGGTCAACAAATCAGCCACAAAGGCGAAATTATAGAATGCTCAGTGAATACTGAACAATACAGCAAAAAGAATAAAGAGGAAAGTGATTTAGAAAGAAGGGAAAATAGATAGCACAACTAGGTGCAGAATCACCAAAACTAATAATCTCCTTCAGGCTCCATTTGGTTAGAACCTGCTCAACCTAGAAAACAAATGAGAAACAAGTTAAGAAAAAACAGATGCACTTACAGCAGCTGCAGATAGTGCAAGAGTGTAACAACCAAGAGTTAGTTACTCTGGTGCACAACTCAGACAAGCAAAAGAGTAATCTATTGAGGTTTATATACTACTACAGAGTGTTTGTACATGTGTACTATACAGTTGATGGGGGCAGTGGCTGATGATGTCATAGGGCACAGCCCGTGTGACCAGCTCTACTGCGTGAGATACTTGTAGCTAAGATAAGAAAAGCAGTGCAGCACGAGAAAGTGAAAGTCTGAACAAAAGGAAGTGCCGTGTGGCGCAAGTGTGTGAAAACTTTGAGAAAGAAAGTTAGAACAGAGAAAGGGAATTGTAAGTCCAAAAATTGTGTATCGTAACACTACCCCCCTCTAAGGCTCGACCTCCAGGCGAGACCAAGTACCGGAGGTAGTAGTTAAATTTTTGGGCATAGGTTGAAAAAGGGAATTAAAAAGATCTAACCAGACCAGGTCACTGACATTGTAGTCAGGGCCTTAGAGCGTCTACGCTCTGCCCTGTCTTTCATCTGCTCTGCAGTCTTGAATAGCGCCTTGCATGTCTCGTTGTCATGCACCAAAGTTGATTGGTAGCATGGACAGGTGTCAATAATGAAGTGAATATTCAAAAAGACTCGCCTTGCGCCACACAGGCACAGTGCCACGTGGAATAGTAATTAATATTGCCTTTTTTGAACTTGTGGCTGATCAGCACCACCTCTATTAGGCAATCCAGTCACGCTCACCTTTGCTTTTCCATTCAGTACTTTCCGTGTTTCGGCATTTCGGCAAATTTTTGGGTCGCTACTGGCTACACATTGCATTGCGCCCTCGCTTTTGTTGTTTCCTTCACTTCCCTTCCTCATCTTCTTTGCTCCCCCACCATTTCTGATGTAACCACTTCCTATCCACTTCCGTCGCCGATCCATTGACTACCACGTGCCACTGCTGATATCAGCAAAGCCCCGATGGCCAGTCCAAATAGGGCAACAGGTCCATCTTCATGATGTCGATCTGCCATCATATACTATCAAAACATTGGTCGCTCGTCTTGCCTGGTTGGAGCGTGGGTGGGTAGTTTTTGAACTGGAGAAGGTTCATCCCCTTGTGTTGCCCATGTTCATTGCTGTCCCATTCACTTGGGTACACTTATCTTTTGTCCATCGTCTTCGCTACAGCTACACCTACCACACACTGCCTGGGACTCACTTGTTCCAAATTGGGACTACTCCTCTCCCTCCCTCGTTTGACCAGGTGGTCCAACACAACCAGTCCATTGGTAAGGCCATGGAACTGTCGGATTTGGACTAGGTGGTGGACCGGTGGCTCCAGTTTCTTTTTCTTCAGCAGAACATTCATTTACAGTGCGATTGTTTTTGATTTTTGAATCATTTTTATGGACACATATTTTTTAGAATACCTGACTGACAATAAAGGAACTGTGTTGATACTGATAGTGTTTTGCCTTGCCTTTTTTTTTACTGCATCTTCCCATGACATCATGATTTTCCTGCTCTCTTTGTGCTATTGGACTTTACTTTATGGCTGTACAAACCTGTGACATTACTCACAGCATTTATTGTTCTATCCCTTTCTTTTCTTTTTTTGACAATCTTATCCTGTACTACCTACGCAGGATTCGTCAGCGTACATTCCTTCCTTCATATTCTTTCTCATTCTTTTTGCACAGCTATACTGTGCATAGCCTACTTCTCTTTTACTATATAAACCCCTGTATTTTACCTTGTAAAAAAAACAGAACAAGAACTCCAATCCAGACTTTTTCTCTACTCTCAAGTTCACTACTCTACTACTTGTGATCCAGTGTGGTCACAACACTTCCCACTTCTACCACTGTTAACTGCTGTCATTGTCACTCGTCACTTTTGAAAGTGATTGTCATCCCCTTCGATTAGAGTCCTTCTGAGCACTACAGTTTGTGCGTCAGGAGCCTGCTATCACTGGGAACCTCGTCATATTGTCGTTCTCAAACCTACCTTGTGCTACGATTAGCAAGGTAGTGCTCGTCTATACTCGCCACAAAGCCCCTATCTTTCTATAAATTCAACTATCCCTCCTCCTCAAAACCCACACTCATACACCTCTGGGTTTTACTTTGAAGGATCTTTAAACGTACCACCCCACGAACAACCAGACCACTCCACTGTTCTAGGAGGCAAAGCCCATAAACAAGTTCCGTGGAATCTGGGAGGATTGTGTGTTAGTTTGTTTTTGTGTGTGGTTTTCTAACAACAGTTCTCATCATCGACAACGGCCTTCGAAGCATCTTCTTCTTTGATGCGTACATTATTGTACCCCCATCTGAGATCCATCTTTGTCAAGATCTTGGCGCCAGCCAATTTGTCTACTAGCTAACTGATCAAAGGCAGCGGATACGCGTTTTTGACCGTGTACTCATTTAAGTAACAATAGTCCATAATCATACACTTTTTACCATCCTTTTCTGGAATGAAGAATACCAGGGATGTCATATAACCCTTACTAAGCTGTTCATCTATGGAACTAGAAACCTCATCTCTTTCTGGAGTAGAGAGGGGAATCATGTGTCCTTTTCTCAGTTTGAACGTGTCCTTCAAATCTATAGCATGGTCCCAAGGCTTAGCCTCTGGAAAGTGCTCTGATTTGTGTTTAGAAAAGACTTTCCAGAAGTCATGGTACTCTGGAGGCACCAGCCTCTTAATCTCTTCCTCGGTTTTTACCATGTCATTGTCATTGTCAATCTTGTCTAAAGATCTGAGGTTGGTATAAACATGACCAGCGTTTATCCGTTCATTAAGCTCAGTTTGATGGATGCAACTAGGCTTACCCAAGTCATTACACTCTTGAGGGAAACGTGACAATGTGACAACCCCTGTCTGCCAGTCAATCTCAGGATTGCGTTTAAATAGCCAGGTCCAGCCCAAGATTAAATTAATCTTCCCTAGTTGTTACGATCTCTATTGGACATTTAAGGACTACTCATTTCCTTTTACTCATCGGTTATACCATCGGACCGATAACTCATTTCCTTCACGTACACTTCCTGTTAGTTTTGGTGATTCTGCACCTTTGTGCTACCTATATATTTTCATTCCTTTCTCTATCTATTCTTCTATCATTCACTATTGATTGTGTTCTCTATTATTTCGCCTTTGTGGCTGCTTTGTTTACCTTTGTTTACAAAACTTCGGACAGTATTGCAGAGTCCAATGCTTCCTATTCTCTAGTTACTCACATTGGACTCTAGGTACTGTATACCTGTCATACTCTCTAATAATAAAGTTACTCACATTGGACTCTAGTTCCAGTCCCTGATTGCTCTCAGCAAGTGGCTAGACACTTCCTTCAAGCTTTGTTCTTAATAGGTTATGAGCCCTGTGCTCTAGCCATCTTCCTGACCTCATATCTCACCATCCAAGCATCCTACTGCTTATCCATCGTAACCATTGTCTTCTGGGACTCTTATTATCTCATCCATCACCTCAGATTACTCTGATCTCATCTTGATCTCCAACAACAACTCCTTGTTGCAAGTTACCCCCATTTTGGACGCTTTTTTGGTCTTATCTGCACCATATCTCGCCCAATCCTTATCTGATCACCCTGTAACTTCTACCATCGTCTTCTACGGCCTAAATAACCCTAGGAGACCTGTCAGAGCGGTTGGATTTGAGCTGGATCTTTCTGTGAGCCTTCATCATCATTTGATCACCTTTTGGCCCCCTATTCCATATCTCCACATCCTGTGCTCGGATCTTGGCCCTATTTGAGCCATCTACTACCCTATACTATTGCACTTTACACCCTCAATTTGGGGGCAATCCATCCACTCCATCATCCTCTGTGAAGTTCGCATCTTTGGCACTTTCACCCCTATTGGACTCCTATTGCATATCTCCACATCCTGTGCTTCACTTCTTGTGATATTTGGGCCATCTATTACTCTATAAAAACGTTCCCTATACCTCTGATTTGGTGGCAATCCATCCATCTTATCTGTCTCTGCATCAATTTCGACTTTTTGCCCTATTTTTCGCTTTTTGGCATATCTGGTGTGTGCATAAAGCTCCAATCTTCTCTACTCTGTCCATTATTAGATAGAACAAGCCTATAGACTGTGAAGCTCGCCTGCATTGCCTCAGTTTGCTGTTGCCTAGAGCCTCTCTCAGTCTGCGGTGTTTGGGGAGCTTAAGTCACTTTGTTGACTCATATACAAGCCCTATTAACCAACACTGTCTCGAGGCGATTTCTCTGTTAATATCAGTGTGGAATTGAAAGGGGAACACAGGCGTAACCCTGTAGCAGCACTAGGAAGCCTTAGCACCCTCCTGGATCGCTTTTGGACGCTTTTTGGACCCTATTTGGACCTATCCTTGCGCTTTCTGACCCTCTCCATATCCTCTCTCTACCGCCTCACCATCTTATCTGCTCGCCTCCTACTCTTGCCCATTGTCTTTGCCACTATTCCATCGCCTATAGCCGTCTCCTACATCATTTATCATTGCTCTATTGTCTTATACAACACCCATCATGTCTGACTCTGATCCCAAGTTCCATCCCTTGTCTGGCACTAACTACCCCCAGTGGAGTGGTGAAATGCAAGCTTGGTTGATGACCAAGGGACTGTGGAGGCTCGTCTCTGGCGCTGAAAAGTGTCCTGGGACTGAAGCTGAAGCAATAGAGAAATGGGAGTTGAGAGCTGAAAAGGCTGCTGGTGCATTATATCTCAATGTCACCAAAGAGCAGCGCATCCATCTTGATGGCATCATTGATGATCCTGTCAAGATCTGGGAGAAACTGGCAATTGTGCACGTCTCTAAGAAGCCTGGGACGAGATTTAATGCCTATGACGACTTCTTCTCTATCAGAAAGAAGGAGGACGAGTCCCTGCAGTCTCTCATGACCAGAATTGACGAAGGCATGCATCAGATTCAAAATCTTCGTCCTACTGGCTTCTCATTGTCTGAATTAGACGATGAATTGACATGCATGGCCATGATTAGGGCACTTCCTGATCAATATGCCCACTTCACTTCATCTCTACTACTTCTGGGCACCTTGGACAAGACCCAGCTCAGGGATGCTTTCCTTGCTGAAGAGGTCAATCGCCGTCGTCGTGCTGAAGTCGATTCTGCCTTGCATTCTTCGTCTACCACTGCCAATAGCACCTGCACCCATCCTAACTGCCATCATTGCAACCAATCCACCACCTCTACTCGCATTCAGTGTGATTTCTGTGGTTTACTTGGTCATACCCAAGACAAATGCCACAGATACATTGCTAGTCGCCAACAGGCAGTGGAGGGTGCTAAGAATCGCTACAAGCGTGGCAATAAGGCTCAGGCAGGCTCCAGCAACTCTCAGAATACCTCTCAGCAGCCCAAATCTTCGCCCAACAATGCCAATTCATCTACTGTGGTCACTGAATCAGCTGGGAATGCAAGTCTTCGTTCCATTCATCCCTCTGATCCTCATTGCCCTCTCCAACTTGATGCTGACATTGATTGGAATGCAGACACAGGCGCCACTTCTCATATGACACCTCATCGTCATTGGATGCACCACTATACCCCATATCGTGTGCCAATCAAGCTGGCTGATCACACTGTTGTCTATTCAGCTGGTGTTGGTACTGTGGTGTTTAATCCTGTGATGAATGGCAAAGTGGCTAGGGCTGTGGAATTCTCTAGAGTGCTCCATGTACCAGATCTTCGAAATAATCTCCTCTCAGTCTTGTATTTAACTCGTCAAAGTGGTTTCAATGTCACTATTTCGTCTCATTCCATGTCCTTTATGCGTGACAACACTCTCTTGTTCACTGCAACTATCAATGACAACAATGCAGCATTCCTTGATGGATCTACTGCTGCTTGTGTTGAATTGGGACATTTTACTGCAACTATACCACTTGATTTGATGCTCTGGCATCGCAGATTGGCTCACCACCATCATGCTGATGTCAAGAGACTGATACAGAGAGATCTGGTCACTGGGCTTACACTGGAATCCAAGGCTACTCCTGATCCTGTCTGTGAACCGTGCTTGTCTGGCAAGATGCATGCCAATCCATTCCCCTCATCTGATACTCGCTCTGCTCATCCTTTGGACCTCATCCATTCTGATGTACACCAAGTTTCTTCCCCCACATTCTCTGGTTATCGCTACTGGGTCACCTTCATTGACGATCACAGTCGATTCCGTGTTGTTGTGCCTCTCAAGGCCAAGTCAGATGTCTTTGATGCTTTCAAGAGATTCAAGGCTTATGCTGAGACTCAATTGGAGCGTAAAATCAAGGCTCTGCGCGATGACAAAGGGGGAGAGTACATGTCCAAGGAATTTGAGCAATTCACAGATGACCATGGGATTGTCAGACAGCATACCACCAGGAATTGTCCTCAGCAGAATGGTGTGGCAGAGCGAGCAAACAGACTTCTGACTGAGCGTATCACTGCCATGTTATCAGAGTCTGCATTGCCTAACAGCTTCTGGGGTGAATGTCTGTCCGCTTTGGTGCATGTCTGGAACAGGTGTCCCACTGATGCAGTGGCCCATGCCACTCCATTTGAGTTGTGGTATGGACGCAAGCCTGACATGTCTCACCTTCGCATTTGGGGCTGCACTGCCTATGTGCATGTGCAAAAGAACAAAAGAGGCGTCTTTGGCTCTCATATGGAGAAATGTGTGTTCATTGGTTACCCTGAGGGGTACAAGGGATGGAAATTCTACAATCCTACCACCAAGCGCACTGTTATCTCTGAGAGAGCTGATTTTGATGAGCGCTACTTCCCTGGCTTGAAAAGGTCTTCTGACAATGTCCCGCCTCCACCTCCCACTCCACCTTCGCTATCCATGCCATTGGGCCTGATTGAGGATGTCCCTGCACCAGGTCCAGGGGGAGATATGGGCCCACCAGCTGCGCTTCAGCAGCCTCAACCATTGCCTGACAATGGGCCTCATTTGGACCTTGATGCAAAACCACCTGTGAATCAACCTCCTGAGCTTCCAAATCACCCTCCTCATCGCTCACCTTCTCCTGACTTGCCTATTGCACTGAGACGCCCTGTAAGGGCTAGGAGACCACCTAGACCATGGTGGCTTCAACACAGACAACCTACTCCTACCATTAAGAGTGATGACAGTGATTCTGAGGCAGTTGATGATGAAGTGGCACACTTTGGAGACTCTGCTGAGCCTAGGTCATTTGCAGATGCAATGAAGCGTCCTGATGCAGATAAATGGAGAGAGGCAGCCATGGAAGAGCTTCAAGCTCATGAGCGCAATGGTACTTGGTCACTAGTGGAACTACCTCCTGGAGTCAAGGCTATTGGTGGCAAGTGGGTCTTCAAGATCAAGCGCAACTCAGATGGCACTGTTGAGCGCTACAAGGCCAGATATGTGGCCAAAGGTTATAACCAGTGCCCTGGCTTTGATTTCCTCGAAATATTTGCACCTACTGTCCGCATATCATCCATCAGAGTTGTCCTTGCCATTGCAGCCATCCACAACCTCCATTTGCGCTCCATTGACATTTCCCATACATTCCTGAATGGAGTCATGGATGTCAAGGTCTACATGCATCAGCCAGAGGGATTCCATCAGGGTCCTCGCAATCTTGTTTGCCAGTTGGACAAGGCCATCTATGGGACAAAGCAGGGAGGCAGAATGTGGAACCAGAAGATGCACACTGTGCTTGAAAAACTCGGATTCAAGCGTACTTATTCAGACTCTGCCATCTATGTCTTTAACAGAGCTGATGTGCGCATTATCCTGCCTGTCTTTGTTGATGACATGACACTGGCATCCACTTCTACTTCTGCACTTGACCAAGCTGTCAAGGACCTCTCCCTGCACTTTAAGCTTCGTGATCTTGGCCCTACTTCTTACCTACTTGGCATTTCCATCACTAGAGACCTAAGTAATTGCACCATCTCCCTCTCCCAACATCAGTACACTCTGGACATTCTGGAGCGCTTTGGCATGAAGGACTGCAAGCCTGTGTCCACTCCCATGGATCCTGGTTTGCGCCTCACCAAGGACATGTCTCCCAAAACATCCAGTGATGCTGCTTTGATGAAGGACATTCCCTACCTTGCTGCTGTTGGTGCTCTGATGTATCTGGCCACTACCACTCGTCCTGACATTGCCTACACTGTTGGAGTCCTTGCCAGATATAACTCTAATCCTGGTCTTACTCACTGGAGCGCTGTCAAGCACTTGTTCCGCTACTTGCAAGGCACCCTTGATCATTCCCTTGTCCTTGGTCCTGATCCCAATTCCACTGAACTCTTCACCACTTTCTCTGATGCTGATCATGGTGGTGACAAGGACTCTGGTCGTTCTACTGGTGCCTATATTGTCAAGATGGGATCTGGTGCTGTCTCCTGGAGCTCCAAGCTTCAGAACATTGTTGCTCTGTCCACCACTGAAGCAGAATACATTGCTGCTGTTGAGGCTGGCAAAGAGATTTGCTGGATGCGAAATTTGTTGAAGGAAATGGGCTATCCTATCACCTCTCCTTCCACCCTTCATATTGACAACCAATCTGCCATCTCTGTATCCAAGAACCCTGAGCACCATGGTCGGATGAAACACCTTGATCTGCGATGGCATTGGTTGAGAGATGTTGTTGACTCTGGGCAGATTGCTCCTACCTTTGTTCCCACTGCTGAAATGCCTGCAGACTTGTTGACCAAGGCTCTTGCCAAGCCTAAAGTGGAAGTGTTCAGGAAGATGATGGGACTTATTAGATCAGGGGGGAGCTGATGCTTGGGAGGTGCAGCATCAGGGGGGAGTGTTAGTTTTGGTGATTCTGCACCTTTGTGCTACCTATATATTTTCATTCCTTTCTCTATCTATTCTTCTATCATTCACTATTGATTGTGTTCTCTATTATTTCGCCTTTGTGGCTGCTTTGTTTACCTTTGTTTACAAAACTTCGGACAGCATTGCAGAGTCCAATGCTTCCTATTCTCTAGTTACTCATATTGGACTCTAGGTACTGTATACCTGTCATACTCTCTAATAATAAAGTTACTCACATTGGACTCTAGTTCCAGTCCCTGATTGCTCTCAGCAAGTGGCTAGACACTTCCTTCAAGCTTTGTTCTTAATACTTCCGTCCCTCTCGCATTCACAGTACCTATTATAGTACTTAGTCCTCAACGGACGGACCTGCCCTAGATAGGACCTAACTCCTATCACCGATTCCTTTCCATCATAAATACCATGTAACAGCAGTAGTATTCTCCAATACAATTCTACGCAGTTTACGCTTACAAAGCTAGACTCCTAAGATCAGACTTCTACTCAGAAGAAGACCAACTCTCGTTGGAAGACCTCTACTCAGAACTACGTTCTCGAACTTGTCTTTGGATAAGTCTCTTTATAAAAACCTCGACGAACCCTCAGACTTTGTTAAGCACTTCGTGCGTAACACTAGTTGGGTAGCTTCGGTAGTGACCCGTTCTCTGTGTCCTTGGTACTCAACAACAAAAGAACATTTGTGTGTAATGCAGCCACCCGCATTAAGTGTACCATCAATGTTATAGACACATCTAATTTTACAAGGGGGAGTCCAATTTGCTCCGCCCAGACCTGATCTATGAAGATTCCGTTAGCGCCTGAATCAAGCAGTGCACTGTTTGGGTGTACTATGCCCCGGGCAAGGTTTTCCACACCAACGTCTGAACAAATCTCCTTTTGGTATAAATAAGTGCGCATCAGCACACGCCTTGGGATGTCTGTAGAAAGTGGCTCCGAAGAAGAGGAAGAAGAAGAAACATGTTTTTCTACTTTAGGATTTTCTATATTTTTATTTTTATTTTTACCAGAATCAAGCACCCTAGTATTTGTCTCGCTGGGGCCACACTCCAAGGGAGACGCTGGTGCAGCGGTGGTATCATAAATATTACAATCACATTTCTTCATACAAGTACATACTTCAGATAACAAATTTGGAAATTTATTTACAAACTGGGGAGCCATCCCCGTCTTTCCTTTATTGCTCGTGCAACACCCTGGAGCAGGGGCCACTTTGTCGTGGTTTACTTCATTGTTCATAGGAGTGAAGGCACCCAAGTGACCTAAGCTCTGAACTCTTTTCCCTGAGCCTTCATTTCAGCAGCCTGCTGATTGTAGAAGAAGGCCCGGATTTCGTTGTATGAACGACCGGCCAGAGTATTGAGCTGATTGTCCGGCTTTTCAGTTTCTAATTGGCGCGCCTGGCGCCCTTGATTATTTTTTTATTGGGCGGCCTGCACCCCGTTTCTGCAATCTTGGGACATGTGTCCCTCTTGGCCACAGTTGTAACAGTTGCCCTTGAATCTGCGCATCTGTCCGCCTTGGACCTCGCCGATATCCATAGAAGCACCCTGTCCTGGCTGCAGCCCGAACAGCTTGAACCCGTGAGAATGTTGTTTATTTTGGTTTGATGACCCAGGGCTCCTCTGGGAAAAGTTGTTTTTGGTGGTGGACCCGCCACCAAATTGCATGTTGTAGAGCTCTATGGCCCTACCAATTTTCTGAACCTCCTCAGCAGCTGCTGCAAGGTTCTCGCTCCGCATATCTTGTATGTAGAGCTGTCGTGCAATAGCCTGTGCTATGTTGCGCTCCAACAGCTCCACCGCATGTTCATTTCCTAAGCCCCCTTGAATAGAGAGAGCCAGGAACTGGGTAATGAAATCATCCATCCTCATATTCCCTTGTTTGAAGGAATGGATTTGCTGGCGCGCCCAGTTGCGCTCAGCCTGAGGTTTGAAATATTTTTCAATTTCAATTTTTAATTCGTCCCAAGTGGGCCAGTGACCAGCGGTATAGCACTCCTGGAGTCTAACTTGGGTGTATTGACCTGCCACAGGTCCTTTTAGTCTAGATAGCACTGCTGTTGCTATCTCAAAATTGTCGGCGAACATGTCCCAGTTCACCTTGATCCAAATTTGGAGTTTGATCCACCATTCAGCAAATCAAGCCCGGTCTCCTTTGAAAGCGCCGGGGTCAGCAACAATCTCGACTTTCTTGTCATATTTTCGCTCGACATGTTCAGGGGGGTTTGCCTGAAGCTCCACGAGCTGTGTGGTCAATGCCAAGACCTGTGCACGCATGTTGTGCAACAAGGTGCTGACATCAGGTTGGTTTTGCGATGACATGTCAACTTGTTCTCTTTGGTAAAGTAAAAAAAAAAGTAACTGGGGGTCCCCGCTTGCTATCTGCGGATCAACCTCTTCCCAGCTGAGTAACGGGTCTCAATCCCCGACTACCCACACTATTGTATTTGAAAAGTATATAAAGTTATAGTAATAAACTCTGGTCTGAACGGTTGTCAGGGGGTGGTCCGCTTGTTAAGCTGTCAACCATTCTCCAACTGGCGGAGGCAAGTGCCAGGCCTGGTCAGAGGTATTTGAAGAAAAAATTTGTATATAAATTTTAATCAACAATAGTTCCACACTATTGCTGAGCTAAGGTACTCCCCTTAACACTGGGGGCCGTGTATCAAGTAATTGTCTTTTCTCCCTGAGCACTACGGGGCTGTCGCTAGGAGAGCACCCTTCTGCTATACGGGATATTTCCAAACAATAACCCCTTAACCCTGGGGACCGGGTTTGCACAATGTGCAAGAGAGTAGTGAGAGTGAGTCCTAATGTAACAACCAAAGTTTTTTTACTCTGGTGCACAACTCAGACAAAGCTTTAGAGAGGAAGTGAGTGGGAGTGGTTACCCTTTGGATAGGACTGAGTTAGTTGTGGGTAAACAACAGGAGGACTTGTTGAGGAGTCTCCTGGATCTATTGGGGTATATATACTACTACAGGTTGTTTGTACATGTGTACTATACAGTTGATGGAGGCAGTGGCTGATGATGTCATGGGGCACAGCCCGTGTGACCAGCTCTACTGCATGAGATACTTGTATCTAAAATAAGAAAAAGGCAGCGCAGCGCGAGAAGTGGAGTTTGAACAATAATGGAAAGTGCTGCATGGAACAGGGTGTGAAAACTACAAAAGAAAGTTGAAGAGGAGAATGAAATCTAAAGGTCCGAAAATTGTGTATCGTAACATATGTCTTGTTATAATCTACACCATATATTTGTGTACTGCCATTCGCTACTAATCAAATCTTGAATTTTAGAATCTTGTTGTTTGGTCCGTGTTTGATTTGAGGGACATAGTGGCAGCATATTATGTTTGCGTGCAGCAGAGGTTTGACAAGGTCCCAGGTGCATAGATTTTCTATTTGTTTTAACTCTTCCTCTATGGCCTTTAACCAATTTTCTCTATATGGTCCCTTTAGCGCTTCGGTCATTGTCGGATTGTTGCTAGCGGTTCCAGCATTTGCAACTGTGGCTGCGCTCCAAGCGCCGGGGTAAGTGCTGACGCTGTTATTTTTGTCATTCGAGTCAGCTGACTCCTTGATGGCAGATGTGGCTGTGTTGCAGCCTTCGTGCAGTGCCTTGTAGTAGCCCGCAGGCTTTGGTTCTCCTCTTTTCGGTTGTTCTGCAGGTGCAGGATCAGGTTCTAGAGGTTGAGGAGGGTCAAGGATAGCTGGAGGAGGATGCTGATGGTCCTTTAGAGGTGGCTGGGCAACAGGATTGGGATGGATGGCATTTGGTTGGATTGTATGAGGCTGTGGGTTGATTGGAGGTGAGTTTGAGTGAATGGCTGCTGGTACATTGTTGATGGTTTCGTTTTTGAGAGTCTCTAATCCAATTGGTTCGTTTGTAGAGTCAATCATCGGATCTTTGAATATACGGCCATTGTTGTTTTTGGCATTTTGGGATGGGATAAGACGCTCCTGTGGAATAAAAATGATGTCGTGTTCGACACTTATGGTGCGTCGTTCTGGCCAGTATATTCTGTGCCCTTTTGACTCATCATGAAATCCGATCCATTTACCAGCCTTTGCATGTGGGTCTAGTTTGCCTGCATCAATGGTTTTGATATATGCTGTGCATCCAAACTCATGAATATTGGATAAATTTGGTATGTGGCCGTGAACTATTTCATACGGTATTTTGCCTTGTAATGCCTTGGTAGGGGCTTGGTTTTTGATCCAGACAGCATACCTAATAGCTTCACTCCACAGAGATTTAGGCATATTTGCACCAAATAACATTGCACAAGCACATTCAATGAGTTTGCAGTTGAGGTGTTCTGATATGCCATTCTGCTGGGGTGAGTCATGGGTTGTTAATTCCCTGACAGTGCCTTGTTTTTGCAGGTGCGCATCAAAATTGAGGCTTGTGTATTTGCCTCCACGATCAGACCTCAGGATCTTTATTTTACTGTGATCCTTTTGCGTATCGAGCCAGGCTTCAAAGTTTTTATACATTTGTAAAACCTCGTCTTTCTTTGCAAGTAAACGCACATGAGTTTCTCGGTTCAAGTCGTCTGTGAAAGTTAACATGTATTGTTTTCCTTTCAAGTCTTGAACAATAGCCGGACCCCAGAGATCCGAGTGGATTCTTTCTGCATGATGTTTAGCTCGAGTGTGGCTAGTTTTTGGGAAAGGTTTCCTTGTGGCCTTTGCTTGGACACATGTCTCACAGAAAAACACGGCCTCGGAACTATCCAGGACAATTCCCTCAGCTAGATTTGAATCAATGAGGTGCTTGAGTAATTTATGGGCTATATGGTCACTGTGCTGGCAAGGTATGTTCCTGTTTTGTAATTTTCACTGACATTTGATATGTGATATAGGCCCTTTGTTTCTGGAATTTGAGCTATCATTTGGCAGCCAGGTGGGAGCGATTGTATCTCGCATATGCCCCTGCCTATGTGAACAGTATATCCTGCCTTATCCATGCGACTAGCAGATATGAGTGTCAAGGCCATTGTAGGGCAGTGTAGCATGTTTTTAATATGACACAAGAGCACTTGTTCCCATTTGGTAGATTAACAGTGATGTTGCCCTTGCCACGGGCGTACATTATATTGCCATTTTCTGCGTTGATAGGTATAGGATTGATTGGCGTATATGATTGGAATCTGTGGCGATTGGGACAGAAGTGGTCTGTTGCACCGCAGTCAATGATGGCTCCATGATCACTTATGTGAGTTTCAGCTTTGTTTGCCGAAGTTGTAACCTGTGAACTGACAGCAAATGCATATATCTCGTTGTCCTCATGTTTGGGAGCAATTGTAGCTATATTTGCAGTGGCTGCAGTATTTGCTCCCTGTGCCATCTGAGGAGGATTTACTTGATTGTCCCTACGATTGGCCTTGTTTTTGGGGCCTTGACCTTCTCAACCTCCACCAGGTGCAAAGCACCTTTCAATTGTGTGACCAACTTTGACGGGACATTTAGGATTGGTGCATTTGTACCGTTTGTTTCTTTTGGCCTTGCGATCCTTCCAACTGGATTTGGCCATCATGGCTGTTTTGGACTTGGCTTGAGCAGAGATTGCTCAAGTGTCTGCTTCTTCGGTTACATGAGCAATTATATCCATTGCCGAAAGCTGGTTTTTGGATATACGAGCAGCGACTAAAATTGATGAGAGTAGTGGACAACAGGAATCTGGGAGGGAAGATAATAACATAGCAGAGAAGTCCTTTTCTTCAACTGTTGCTCTCATGCCTGCTAATTGCTCTCAGATCTTTAGCATGTCTCCCATGTGATTTCCGACATTTGTAGATTCAGTGCATTTCATGCTTTGTAGGCAGTGTCTGATGTCAATCTGCATCATCTCTGTTTTGCCTTCATGCATGTGACAAATGGTAAGCCATATTGTAGCTGCTGAACTCTTGTCCTGGATTTGGATGAGAGTTTTGTCGTGAACAGTAGAAAATAATTGCTGGATGACAAGACATTCTTTCTAAGTGTATTCATCAATCTTAGTTTCATAGGTTTCTATGTCTTCTTCTTTAAGGGTAGTGCCGTCGGTTTTTGTGGCTATGCCATTAGAATCCCTGGTATATTCAAGAGGATCTGGCTTTTGTGCAGTTCCAGACAAGTGTCTGGTTAGACCTTGGGCACCAATAGCCACAGCTATACAAGCCTTGTATGTAACCCAATTGGAGCCATCCTTGGCCAGTTTGGGTACAGTGAATGTTGAAGCTGTAGAAGACATTTCAAGTGAGCTGGCAGGGCTCATAACCTGTGAGGCTATGAGAAGACTAATAGAGAATATTTCTCAGTCTTATAATTAAGAGACTGATATTAAATGATGATCTATTTAATAGAGAATATTTCTAAGAGTGTAAAGTGAGTATAGTGATAGAATGTGGACTGTAGAATAGCCAAACATACCTCAGTCTTATAATTAAGAGACTGAGGTTTGTGTAATGTGGAATGCTATGAGTTTTGGTATAAGCATGGGAATAATTTGAGCTTATGTAATGTGATGGAAAAGCAGTCAATCAGAGAATAAAGGATAATGTATGGATAATGAGGAAATAGAACATAGAATGTTAATATGCTATGAATAAAATATGCCAACAACACCCACTGGTTCTCATATGTTTTACACTATTTTTGCTATTTCCTTTTTGGTACTACTATAAAACTGTACTTCCAAAAGGAAGAAATAATATCCTTGGATCCCCCATATACTCAGAATTTGTCTGAGTAAGTTGCCATAGTTGCCTCAGAAGTGTTGTAGACGTTCCCTAGCCATATAGCCATATTTCCAACAAGTGCAGAGCTTGTTTTGACATTCCACTCATACAGACTGTGACAACACCAACAAGACACAGCCTTGGGGCACTGGAGCACAATGAAAACAACACTCAGAAGTAGAGGAAGAGGTGGGAGTGGTTACCCATTTGGTAGGAACAAGTTAGTTGTTGGTAGACAACAAAAGGACTCGCTGAGTCCTTCCCCATGTATTGCTCCTGTATATATACTAAAATACATGAGGTACTGCAGACTCCAAATCAGTCTACATATGTGTGTATGCTATATCCTAGTGCTTGTGATTAGATAATTTGATTATATAATTATCCAAGACTTTACCAAAACTTGAGTTGAGCATAACACATATGTGTTAGTTTTGGTGATTCTGCACCTTTGTGCTACCTATATATTTTCATTCCTTTCTCTATCTATTCTTCTATCATTCACTATTGATTGTGTTCTCTATTATTTCGCCTTTATGGCTGCTTTGTTTACCTTTGTTTACAAAACTTCGGACAGTACTGCAGAGTCCAATGCTT